GGGAGGAGGGGGTGCAGTTGCTTGCCCAGCGTGGCCCTGCAGAAGGCCTGGGTGTTGCAAGAACAATGGCTGGTGTATCCAGGTTCCCGACCTCCCACTGCACCTGTAGCCCCCGCCGACCTCCCCAGTTAAGCGTCTGAATGGTGCACCGTTCTATTCTGCCAGGTGTTCTGTCTGCTCTCACTAAACAGATGGTCCACTCCTCGAGGAAAATTTCTGTTTCCAGAAACGGGACGGCTTAAGCTGGATTAGGCCACCTGGCTCCGTTCCTTGTAACGGAAACTCTGGGAGAGCAAGGGCGGAAGGGGTTGGCCTTGAGAAGGCACATTTGCCTCAGTTGATCCAACCACCTTTGCAAAGTTCTCAGACTTGAGTCTTGCATCAGACTCCCTGGAGGCCTTGTTAGACCCCGGCTCCTGCCCCACCCAGAGGTTCAGATCCAGCGGCCCTGGTCTGGGGCCGAGACTGGTACCCAGGAGCCCGGTGAAGACACTGCTGCTGGTCCCTGGGTCACGCCTTGAGGAGCCCGGCTTTGGAGGCCCCTCGAGGGAGAGGTGGGTACTCACCTTCCTGTGCCTGGAGGGGAATCTGGGAGGCAGCGGATTTGGTGCTGCCCTTGCTCTTCTTGCTGCCCTGGCTGGCGAGAGATGGGTGAGCCTGCAGCTTCCGGTGGGCCTTGGGGCCACCCAGGGCACCATTCCCCGCCCGCCTGGCGCCGCCCAGCTCCAAGGGGTGGCCAGAGCCATTCGCCAGTAGTGGGGTGCAGCCCAAGGGGTTCCCCTGAGGCTGGCCTGGAGAGATGATGAGAAAGGGGGATGGAGTTGGGAACCAGGCTGCATTCCCCTCCTGCCTGGTCCTCAAGTACCCCACAGTTCACCGGCCAGACGTGTATTCTTCAGATGAGGAAACTGAGGCCTGAAGAGCAGAACTGACTTGCCCAGAGGCCCACCAGGAAATAGCAGCAGCGTGGAGCCTGGCTCCGGACTCCCGGGCCGGTGCTCATTCCAGAAGTCAGAGGTGCAAGAGGGGCTCAGAGTGCTGGACCCACTCCTCCCTACGTGACATCCATTCTCCTGACGCGGGTCCTGGGATTTGGGCGGAGAGGCGGCGGTTGGGGGAGGGACCGACAGTCTGGCTGGGGTGGGAGGACAGCAGTGAAGTGGTTAACCTTCACTCCGGCCTCTGCCAAGCCCCCAGCTGTGTTTGCCCTTCGTGCGCTGGGTGAGTTATTGGAAACATCTGTTTGGAGATGAAGGCCTGGTCTGGAATTCGGGGGCTCCTCACAGCAGCCCCTTCATCTCCTCTCCTCCATGCCCTGCCCTGTCGGCCTCTGTGGGGTGGCTGGCGAGTTTGCTGAGGGGCCTTAGGGTCTGGGTGAGGAGGGAGAGAAGAAGGGAAGAGGGAGGCCAGCTGGGGGACCCCCTGAGGCCAGGAACCCCGGAGTCCCCTTCGCAGGCTGAGGGACTAGACTTCAGCTTTATCAGCGAGGCCCCAGAGAGCCCCCCAAACACCCAGTTCTTCCCTCACCCACTCGGGTCTGCTCACCTGAAAGGCAGTGCTGTTCATAAGCCATGAGGGCAGCTGTGTGTCGGGGGCAGGGGCTGAGAAGGGGCACTAGCACTGGGACTCCTCAGGGCAGGACCCGGGCAGGACCCATAGGCCCGAGGGCCTCTGTAAACATGGGGCCTGGTCCCCCAACTCCCTCCCGGCCTGGCCTCTGTGTTTGAGCTGTGG